CAGCCTGAATGGAAGTGGTGTGATGCAAATTCTCGACAGTCGGTGTTAAGGGGTTAACCCGTTTCTGAGTAGAAACCGGTGAGAAACCAGGACAGTGTGACATGTAAACACACCTGGTCCAGGTTTGACCGATGTCAAGTTAATAAAACAGTATTTATTGGTGATCTACATGCTGCCTTAAAGCTGCTTTAGTCAATATTTTTATAACAAGGAATCAGTTGTTTCTGGTAGTTGTGAACCCACAGACTCTCTCCAACTCTGCAGCTCTACAGAGCTTTTTAACCTCATAGTTTGGATTTTCTGGCATTTACTGTATAGCCCCTTTCTGAAATGCACGTCTTTAAGTGAATATGATGACACTGTCTGTAATAGCATCCAAGTCACTTTTACATTAAAATCACAATGTCTGTCTTCTCAGGTTGAACCTGCACAGCACAAAAAGGCTGCAGCAGATGGCAAAAATGAAACGCACATGTTGTTTTCCTGATTACCATCTCCTGTTTTCAAATAAAATATATTACATCTAACTACAAAACACAGTGCAGTGCATAAGTCACCCAGGGGCGGGCAATAGGAGTTAAAAAAAAATCTGTGTACAGCCACAGTATTAATCAGACCAGCTGTTTATATTTTTAACTTTCACTCATTGCAAAAGAGACAGATATGTTTCTCAGGAGTTAATAACACAGAACTAAAACTAAAGTGAATATTGGACCATAAGCACGACTCCAGTGGGATGATCATCTTGTTCTGTGACTGCTAGATGCATAAGTGGGCAGCTGTTAACTTATTAGCCACACAAACACTTTATAAGCTGATATGTGTTTTCAGCTCATTCCACGGCCCTAGAATCACTGAATGCAGCTTTAAATAACAGTAATGACAGTAATTCAGAGAATTAATTGTACTGATGCTCCCTGAGTTGTTCTTGACTTTCTGTTTAATAACTGTTGAAAGTTACTGTGATGAAAAGCTGTACTGATACACTTAGACTTAATCCAACCAACACCTTAGGGAACAATCTGATGTTTCTGCTGTCGATCAGTAATGACCTTTCTGCAGAAATAGGCTGAATACTGAAATGTCTGCAGGCTAATGTGTACGTATGAGTTTGCTCAATTTGTTAAAACCATTTTTCATTTCATTATAAATAGTCAACAGAGACGCAGAGATGAGACGCAAACAGCCGATTTCACATGCTAATCATCTGATTTACATGTTAATATCACACTGTGACCAGCCTTTATCTGAATATGAATGTGTTCAATCTGCAAAAATAAAACACCCAAAATGCAACGAGTGAGCGCACACCTCCTCCAACATGTGCAGAGGCATTACGCTCAGAAAATGTCAGGCATAATGTTTTTTTTGTTTGTTTTTTTTTAAACACAAAAGAAACCAAAATGTGGAGTGTGACAGCAGTGTGGTTTGCAGAGCTGATGGCGAGGCATAAACAGACAAGCTGTCATTTCAGCCACAAGTGTGATTTTATTTTTTATAACTTAGGAGGATTTGTAGTTTCTGGACAGTTTAAAGAGCCAAACTGGAAGTCACTCTCTGCTTTCCATATTACTGCAGTTTCATCACAGATGGCATTTTGAGTTCAGGTAAAAAATTGCATTTTATTCCAAAGTCGGTTCAGGTCATAAATCAAGAGTGTGAAATGCAAAACTCAGCTCTTTGGGATTCACTTTTCCAGGCTTACAGTTTAGAAATGTTCAGTTCAGGCCTATTGAATTGTCAGAAAAACTGGGATTAATTAAGACAATTTTAATTATTATTTGCTGGAAATGTTTCAAACCCAGTCTACCATTAATATTTTCTGTATTTGTGCAGAGGCAAACTTATTTAATTTCATCATGTAAATTAACATTAAATGTGTGTCAGCAGCATTCGTTTTTTCAGAAGTGTGGTTGTCTGTCGTCTGTCTGAAAGACAATCGGAGAAGTTTCCATTTTACTTTGCTTTCAGCCCATCAGAGCAACTGGGGGCTTCATTCAGAGCGTGATGGCTGAAAATTGCAGCAATTTGGAAGCTAGAATTTTAAAGATTGAAAGAAGGAAGGCTTGATTTTACTGGGCGTCGTGAGGAAAAATGCTTTTGTGTGTGTGTGTCTGAAGGAGCTCTGACATTTTTCCTCCTCATCTTGTGAAACAGCCTCGTTGATTCAGTTCTTGGGATCTGTTCATGGTCATCAGCATGACGATCAATGAAACAATCAATTCGCTAAACTAAATATGGAGAATTTTTTTTAAGTTAGTCCAACAGTAAACTAATTTAGTTACATTCCCTCCATACCTTTCCTCTGAGTTCGCCCTTGTTTTTTTTTTAAGTCTCTCTCTCCAGTTTCGGTTTAAATGTGAATTCTTTGAGTGTCTCGAGTTGCAGCAGCTGCAGCTGCAGCTCCAGCATGGAAAAGCAGTTAAAGGAAAACAGTGCGGAATCACAAAACAATATTTTAAACCTTGATGAAGTGTAGGAAGAGTGGTGAAAGGAAAGTGTAGGTAGTTCAGTGGATATCCTATTGTTTGAAACCGGCATTAACAACGCTGGGTGGCTCAGCTGCTCGGAGAAGGATCCCCCCTTTTTTGCTCTTCCTGAGGTTTCTTCCATTTTTTTCCCTCTTAAAGGGTTTTTGGGGAGTTTCTGCTCATTCAAATTGATGGTCTATGGACAGAGGGTGTCATCTGCTATACAGATTCTAAAGCCCCTTAAAGCAAATTGGGATTTGGTGTAAATAAAACTGAAGTTACCTGATTTGACTCACACAGGATATTGTCTGATACTCATATCTGTCCATACCCCCTTTTTAATTTTAAAATTATTATTGCCCTACTAAACATTTTTAAATGTTTTCTTTTTTGGGATTTTTAAAATCAGTTGCTGGTAAATTAGGTGTTTTCAGATTTGGTCCCACTTTTCTGATTGGTTATTACAGCCTGTGTTGTTTCATATTGGGCGTACATATTTGATGCCTGACGAAGGCCAAAGACAGAAATGTTGTTCAACAGTTCAATTCAACAGTCCCCCCCCACACCTTCAACATTTTCCTACTCACCTGTCCTTTCAAAATGTGCATAAAAACTTGTCTCTCTCACTATGAAATACTGTCTATATAAATATTGTATAAACGTGCTGTACAGAAAGCACAGCGAACACGTGCAGTCTCAGAGTGGGAGGGTGAGCAGTGAACTGTGAGCTGACCGACCTCCTCTGAACCACGACCACTGAATGTGTTGCTGCAGCTCAGAGACCACCTGGGACTCAACCCACCTGAAGCCAATTAAAACCTCCAAGAGTCAGAGAGAAGCTGTGACCCCCCTCTCATACACAAACACAAACACACACACATACTGGCACACTCCTGCCTATCCTCAGAGCTGTGAACAGATACCAGAGAGGTTAAAAATAACTTGAATGTGCGTCAGAATCCACCAGGGCTGAAGAGTTGTGAAATCAGCTGACGACATGGTGGGAAGGTTCCTGTGAAAATGGGGAAAAACACAAACATCAGTAGTTACACTCTTCAAATGAAAATGATGAAGCCTCCAGCAGTTGCACTTGTGTTACAATAAATGATATTGATTATTGATGCTGGAGTATTTAGTATATAGGGATTAGTCCACTGTTTTTCAAACCTTCTGTATTCTCATCAGGCTTTCCTACAGGGCATCATAGTAGCTGTTGTCAGTGCCTCAGGAATTACATTACTCTCATGAATATTACTTACAGGGGAAAGGTAGAAAGTATTTACAGTAGCACTAAAAGACGTCTATTCTGCCAACAGAAGGGAGACTTTTGACGCTCCGCAACCTGCATGAAGAAGGTCACAGCGCCGACGGAGACAGCTTTGCCAGCTTGTGTACAGAGAATAATCACACAACTGTCTTTTGAGAATAAGTTAGACTCTTTACAGCAAAGGAAATATGCAGGAAATCTTGTTAATCAGCCGGTTATAGACCTGTAATATGTATTATGAATATTCATAAAAACTGAACATCTAATTATTCCGATTTAGAAAATCTAATTTAAGGATCCCTTCAAAGTCACTTACTTTTAAATTTCTCTATATCTATTAACACAGAATATTCCCTTCAGATTGTGTGTGGGTCTGTCACCCTGCGAAAGACCACCACCTGAGTATATCAGAGGGCACAGCTCAAAGCCATTGACAACAAAAGTCATTTTCAAAAGTAAATCTACTACTGAAATGTGTCACAGTTTTTCAAATAAAAACTCATCAACATTGTCAAACCCAAAGTCAGTGTGATTGACTATGAACACGCAAAGTCAAGACAGAACAAATCAATTACTGACTAAATCTGGACGCAGACTCTGAGTATACAGCTGCTAATAGATGTCTTTTGATAATTCTGTTAATTTTACTGAAGGGCAATTTCATGTTAAAACTGTGTTTGAGTTTCCAGTACAGCACAGAACTCTGTGCCAAACTGTAACTGACACCAGTCGATGTTAATCACATAAAATGTCAACATTTTCAGTTTGAAAATAATAAGCTTTTCTTTGGTGTTCCACAAAGACTGAGGCCTGTGTGAAATGATCTGCTGTCCCTCGTATCCTCCTCGACTCTGAAATGCAGATTTGTTAAAACAATGTGGACTCTCACAGAGTAATTGGCCCCGGGGCCACCTGCAGCGGCTGGATGAGAGTGCTTAGTAATGAGAAAAAAACTACAGTATGTCTGTCAAAGAGCCAATTAAGCTGATAGAGCAGGATTTCCCGCCGGTGTCAGACGGTGGTTTACTGGAGATAAGATGCAGAGAGGAAGAAACTAAACCTGGTGGAGTCACTGTTATCAGTCAGAGAGGAGAAACTGACTGTTGTTTCTGTCTTTCCCTACTGTTACGAGTGAGTCGGATAGTCGTTTTGTGTTATTGTTGTTACAGTTGGGTGGTGGCTGGATTCAGGTGCATAGTCAGACTCGATGTAAGGTCAGACAAAAAGGGGGTTTATTTGAGAAACAAAAGAAGCGACTAGGTGAAGTAGAGTGAGAGGTAGGAAGTCCGGGCCTGGAAGGGGATCCGGGTGTTGGCGTGTGGCTGGCGATGTGCGGAGGCACCGGAGGTCTGCAACAAGCCAAGTACTCAAAAAAACAGTTAGTGTGCCAATAACTGTCTGTTACCCAAAACAATCTGGCACCGGCCCTCCAACAAGCAAGAGCTTAAGAGCTGAGCGGTGATGAGCTGATCAGCTGCAGATGTGGAGGAGAGCCAGGTGCTGAGCCAGCTGCCACGCCCCCTGCAAAGAGACACAACCACAACACAGAGAGAAAAACACACCCTGAACAGCAATACACATACCGTGACAATTGTCACATTATGTAACAGACAAGTTTACAGACAATCAAGGATGCATGTGCAGCAGGGGGACAGAAAACACATAATGTCATAAGTATATATAGACATTTTCAGTATTTAGAAATAAAGCAAACTTGCCAGAAACTTGTAAATATAGTAGGTAATAATATGTGTGGCACTCATCTTCACACTGCTATTGTGACACATATTCCAGAGAAATAATAATGATAAATATGAAAAGTGGCAGCTGCAGTAGTATTAATAACGCTAAACCAGACTACACAAAGTTTATACTACAAGTCATGAGAACTGTGTGTGGTTCAAACTATCAACTGGCAGCACGGGTTAAAAGCAAAGAAGCCCCCCTCACACATGTAACAGTAGCATAAAAAAGTAACGTTAACATAATTAAAAATCTTGTTGTTTGGCTGCTGTGCAAATTAAGAAAACAGACCCTCCCTCATTCTGGTTATTTCTAACGTCAGCATGTCCGAAAATCTTTAAGTTTCCTCTACATGTACTTAAGAAGTTTCTTCACCAAAATTTCTCTAAAAAATGTCCTCTGATTGTCCAGATGTTAGAATACAGACACAAATCTACAAACTTAAATAATTTATATCTCCCAGTTTCTTTATTTTTATTTATCTTTAATTCTTTTACAAATATATATTTTTGATTATTTAATTATTTTTAATCTAATGTGTATATAGATGTGTCTTAAATTATACTATACAATACTATATGCCTACCGCATTTAAAAGTGTGCAGTGATACAGACAGGTATACAGTGTATAACACTGATGTTTACAGAATCAGAATTGCAGTTTGAATTTTTTTGGACGACTTGTTTTCTCCTCTTTTCCAGTACTGGAGGTGAACGGTTTGTCTATTTAAGTTCTTATTTTGGACACATCAGTGGGCTGAATTTAATTTCCCTTTGTTGATCATTTTGGCAGTGTCCACCCTGGAGCTGATTACTTCCTGGCAGTCACTTCATAAATACACCCAGTGTGTTCTGCCAACCTGCTCGGCCAATTCTTCTTCAGTGGGAACAGATTCAGACCGGTCACATTTCTGTTTCATATGGTTCTCCCTCAGGCTGAGCCCGGCACTGACTGCAGACAGAAGTACTGCTGATTATTGTTGCTGGATGGAATTGAGACTTACTCACACACAAGCCACAGGATGTTTGAGTCAAGACAGTTTTTTCAAGTCAATATTAGTAATATAGCCCAATATCACAAAAATGTGCCAGTAAAACTCCAAATTGTCCTCAATCATCTACTGGTTCACCATGAGGTGTCTGTGTCTGCACAGAAAGTATAAAAACAGATCATACCTTTTGTGCATGATTTGGTCATGATTTTAATCCTGCAGGAGAAAAAAGATTTTAGTTGGCGGCTTTTTCTTGGCATCAGGACTATTGTCTTGAACTGAATGTGTAGTCAGTTGTGGTTTGGTCAACATGGTATGTTTATAAACTATTAAATTAAGGAAATAAAACATTTTAAATGTGACTACGGGCAATTTGTCTGGATCACTGCAGTTTAAACAAGACAAACAGTCTACAGATATGCTTGCAGGCCTCTGTGAGGCTGCTTCAAGCTTAGTGCTAACTTGTTATATACACAATGTTTACCATGTTCACCAACTTAGCTTACTGGGTTAGCATGCTAACACCTGCTAATTAGCACTAAAAAACAACTAAAGTCAGGGGATCACCAAAGTTATTACAATTTATCTTGCAGAGAACATGGATGTCTGAACCAAACTGCATGGAAATCTATCCAATAGTGTCAGACTGACAGAACCACATCCATAGAGGCAGTCACATTTGAGCCAGTTGTGGTGGCGCAGGGTTGGGTGGAAAACATGCAGAAGAGGGGTTTGCATGCTCTGATAAAGGTTTGGGAAACACTATTCTAGGTTAGTCTGCTGTTGTGTGGGGCGAGGGAGAGAGCGGGGCAGCAAATGACCCTGATATATTAACAGTAATTGGGCAAAATCACAGAGGGGATGTAATACTGAGTAAACTACCCCCGCGACCCTGCTCGCAGGATAAGCGGTTGGCGATGGATGAGTAAACAACAAATGTCTGCTGGCTGAACGTTCCAATGTTAGGTGATGCTACTAACTGTGAGTAAACTATGCTGCATTGGAAATATGTGGGTCAGTCCATGTTTGCAGTTCGGCTAAATGGCATGTTTCTCAACTTTGTACACAGTCAGACTCCTGTGTGGATTGACTATGACAACCAAAGCATGCTCTGGTAAACAATTAGTGATTGGTTTGACTGAACCAGCTCAAAGAGGTGTGATGAAAAAATGTGATGTATTTTTGACATGAGAAGGTGGCCTCACTATAGACTATGCTCAGTGTTAAAGTGGTTTAAGCCGACAAGTTATTCCTTTAGCAGCTGATGGTTTTTTTTCAAGCTACTCGTGTTTCAATAAATGTGAAAGACCAGATATTCTGACTCACGGCAGCTGCCAAACGATTCCCATTAAAAAACATACAGTGGGAGCAGTAAATGAAACTGCGCAGCAACCAGGGCACTTCTGCAACTCTTGAGAGATAATTTTCCAATAACACATAAACAAAATCAGAATGATGTCTTCATCAGACTGAACAACAATCTTGAAGAACAGCAGCAGAGAGACTGTGCAGAAGTAGGACAGGCGTCATCCTGCAGTTAATAGGTCGCTTTGGGATGACAATTTCAATATTTATCAGCTGCCACTTTAACTGAAATGTGGACAGCAATTATCAGATCAACTAATGAATCCCTGTCTCTGAAACACGAATCCCTCTCAGGGTGTCTTTGCTAATAATGCAGGTTAGTTCAGGTAACTAATCAAAACCTCCCTCATGTCTGTCAAATATAAAGGTTTAGCCAGCTTCTGGCTAGCTTAGCTTAGCACAAAGACTGAAAACGAGGAAACAGCTAGCCTAGCTCTGTCTTAACCTACCAGCACATCCAAAGTTCACTAATTAACAACTCATACAAGAACCAATCACTTTATGGATCACGGATTTAAACAGTGGAATAGAAACTCTGAAAAGTCTCCAGCACTAATCAAGATGCTACTTGTGTGTGCACAGATGTGCATGTATCTGAGCAAAAACAACTTAAAATATTGTCTGAAGCTCTTTTTCTAAGAAGTGTCTCAGAAGACGTGCAGTACCGCTGACATCTGAGTAGCCTCGTTTATTATAAAAATAACAATTTTTAGAAGATATGTAGTTCTATAATCCTGTAAATCAAAATGAGATAAGATAAAAATAAGTATAGGGGTTCAATGTAATAATTGTATCTCCTTCGAGACTGTAACATATGCGACAATGTGTTTTGATTTCTTATATTCATTCTTGACACCTCATGAGAAGACACCGGAGACAATATAATACTGTTAAAACAGTTGAATGGCAGTAATAAATTCCCACACAGTTTGTCTCAGACTGTAGTGAGTAGAGACATCCTGAAGCATGACATTCGCTCTTACCTGAAGGCTGTTAAAATGTTAAACAGATGAGCCTGAGGACAGCAAACAAATGATCAAACAGAAAAACAAAAATCAAAACCCGTGGAGAAATTCAGGTGTGCCGTTCCATCATCAGTATTTATTTCAGTGCGGAGATGGAGTTTCTTTTCTTTCAGTGTGTGCGAGAAATGAGAGCTGCGACGGGGGGAGAAAAGCAGGAGGCCCGGACGTTTCATCACTCAGACTCTACCTGTCCTCGTCTTCTTCTCTGCCAGGAGATGCAGAAATATTCATTACATGCATGAGGAGTTCTCTCTGGTAGCTCGTATTGATCCGGCCTCTCCTGTTCCACAGCATGTATTGATCACATCGACTCTCTTTCTTTTTTTTAAGTCTGTAATGAGGAGCACACTGTGCTGAGTTTCCTGCCAGACTCGGGTTTGTGTGATGTTAAAGGTCAAATCCAGTATGGATGGAGTTCTGTTTCCTGCTCTGCAGCGTTATCATGTTGGGATGTGAAGTATTTGCTACCGTTTCCTGTCTTTCCTTGAATAAACGTGTCATGTCTCTACAGTCACATCCCGTCTATTAGCATCTACTCACACATTCTTTCACATTAAAGCACAACTCACAGTTAAACACGTCCTTCCTCTTCCTTTGGACAAATGTAGATGATGTTCAGCAGCTCCAGTGTAGTTGGAGTTAGCGCTATCTTGGTTCCAGACCTCTGAATCAACACTCATATGTCTGATATGTTTAGGTGTGACGTTGTGCTTGCTGTTTACCCATACACATCTACCAATCAGAGCTTTTGTAGGCAGAATTAAAAATTTAAACGTTATTTTTGTAAATAGCAAGCTGGCTATAGCCATGACCATCCAGCATGAATATTTTTTGTTACTTTGGAAAAATGTGCAAATTTATTTTTACTAACTTTCACATTTATACATGTCAATTTGTGGGTTAAAAAAATGCTTATTTTTGTGGTATCACAAAAGCAGTCAAACAGCATATCAATCGGTTTCTTTATTAATCTTATTTTGGGATGACACCAAATAGTCAAAGATTCGATAGGCGGAGCCTGATTCAACTCCTATTCTCACACCGGTTTTCTCCCAGTAAGTTAATATACAGCCTATCATGATGTAAATATCCACATATAATGCTGTAAATAAATAAACTTCAAAAGAAAATAGCTTTTGAAAAATGCTGTTGAAAAATGTTGAAATGTTGTTGCTGAATAAATCCAAAATTGTAACCCTGACGCCCTCTAAGGTAGTTTTCTAAAACAAAAATCAAACAGTACTTGGAATAGACCCGCGAGGAACCGTGACATGAAAATCTAGGTGAGTCGGCGGGCACAACTCTGCACAAGACCGGTGAATAGCAGGCGAGCAAAGCAGAGAGAAAGGGGTCAACAATGATCGTCAGTTTAGCTGGAAATGTTCAGTGTAAGAAACGGTGACTAATGAATGGAGAGGGCAGCTCTGCAGCTTCTCAAGATTGGTGTTACGACGAGATTTGCACTGAAGAATGAAGATCAGCGTCTGTGCAGCACAACTACTTTCTGTTTCTACTGAGAAGGTGGCTGCTGTTTGTCCTTATTCAAAACCAAACAAGCCACAGACTTGTGAAACATTCCTTTATTATAAATAGATCATTTGTATAAAAAACGGGCATGCTTCAGTTCAACCATTTAGACATTTCACAACCAAAAGCTACCATTCATGTTAACCGAAAACAGCAACGGACTCATCTCATAATGCAGGTCGATGGACAGACGACATGAGACAAGAATCAGAAATTTTCACAACCACAAGTTTTTTTTTTAACATACAATTAGAATAAGAACAAATATGTTTGGTCCCCACAATTTATTTTTTGTATTTCTTTTTGAAGATTTGTTTTAATTCTTATTTTTTTGTGTCTTTCAGGTTATCATCCTCCTGCTTCCTCATCGTTTCTTGGATGGTTTTACAGTTGAGATCCTTTCAGGTTTTTGGCACCCTTCAGGCCCGTTTCCTTCTGTCTGTAAACATAAAAACACTTCCCAGGTTTCAGTTTCTAAGTTCCGATCCTTCAGATTGTTCAGAGCACCTCATTTCATGTCTTATCCTCTGGTAACATCTCCTCTGAGTCTGGAATCTGCTATTTAAATGTCCCAGGACGTCCTCGAGTCGATGGTGTCACTTTTTCACATGGCATGGTTGGTGTAGCTGACGTAGGTATTTTTCGTTGGTGGCACTGAGGAGAGAAAAACAAACAGCAGGTTGGTAAAGTGACCCTTTACTTTAACTTATGCCTTAAAGTTCCCACGAAATGGAAAGCGGAGTGCTATTTCATTCCGTATATGTACATGTTTCCCGTTGACAAAGACAAAGCTAGGGAGGGACTGCAGTAACCACTAGTGCTGAATGTGTGCTACGCCGCCACCCCGTCATGCAGACTCTGCGCGAACTGATTCCAGCTTCCGCCAAGTGAACACTTTAGGTACCCCGGATCCCTATCTGCACAGTGGTCCTGTCTGTCAAAGAAGGTTACCACAAATGTGCCTGTTCATAATTACTCGTGTGTTGTTGTCTGTTCTCATCTCACAGCGACAAATACTGATGCTTTCAGAAAGGCTGACAAAGCGTTATTTTATTATAGTATTTGATGCAAAAGATGCGTGCGTATGAGACTCCCCCGGGCGCGTCTGTATGAGACGCCCTGTCTAGACCAGAAGCGCTAATAGCTAGCTAGGTAGCTAGCTATGTTAGTATAAAAGGCGTTGACAGCTTCCCAAAGCCCCTTACCCTAACCCTAATCATCACAGGGGTGTGTGCCTAAATCACAGTCAGCGATTGTGTGCAAGTCGACCGGATAACCCTACAGCTGGCCTGACGGCCGATATGCTAACGGCTAAGGTTAACCTCCTTTGTGTTCAGGCAGCTAATATGACAGCTAACTGACCTAACTAACAGCAGCTAGTAGCAGTTAACTGTTAATTATTTAGCAACAGTTGTTCATCAGCGAACTAAACCACAGATAGTTGAGGCAGGGTAGCCAGGGGACATCAGAGGGAGAACCAGAAAATATTGTTCTCTGATCCAGTTTCACCAAAATCAGTTAATAAAGATGTGTTTTTGTTTTTGTACAGTAATCAGTGAGGTCCGGTGGGCCCACAGAAACACTACACTCTGGTAGGGTCATAAAAATTAAAAAGCTTTTCACACTGAATTAAAACACGTTTTCCAGGAAATGACAAACTAAAATACCATTAACAATTCTTACAAAACAACATTTTTTATCATTGTTGGACCATGTTGTATTGGTGACCTATTGTGCAAGACATGAGCAATAAAAACAAATTAACATCGATTTTGATTTCATGGGGACTGAATTCAGAGGCTGATTTCTGATGTCACAAAAGTCAACAGATAACAAGACAGTTACAAATAATGAATTGAGCAAAAATGAGCAGATCTACTGAGCAGCCAAACAGAAGACTTAAGATTCTTAAAACATCTAGTGCCACCTGCTATTCCACATTACCAGCAGGTAATACACGAGGAGTCTGGGAACTTTTAAAACCATTTTTCACAGGCTGGTGGCCCTTGGTTGTCTTGTTTGTGTACAGGCTTTCCTCATTAAGTAAAAACCAGAAGCAAGGCTGACCAGATAAAAAGTCAGATGGCCAGAGGTCATCAGGTATTGCAAAATCTCCTTGACTTCCACCACTGTGTCCGAATACATGGGTAGACTGTGGCCCTGAAGTGACAGTGTACATAAGCAACAATACATCAAGTGTCATGCTGTGGCATTAAAAGTATGCTCAGTTGCTATTAAGGACACTAAGGTGTGCTAAGAAAATATCCCCCACTGCATTACGCCACCACACCAGCCTGAACCGTTGACACAAGGCAGTACTCCAAATAAATTACCTTTGCTGGTTTTGTACATAAGAACAATATAAATGTGTTTATGGGGGAAAATTAAAATGAGAATTAGTATTTAATTGACATTAAGATAAATATATAATAACATTTTTGGCTTATGTCGTACATACACACTTTGACAGCCTATTTGTTAGAGTTGCAATTTGGGAAACAGGTTAAAAAGTGTTTAAATTGTGCAGCAGCGTTATTTTTTATCAAAGAATCTGAGGATCCTGGAATGACTTTGAGACCAGGGACAAGTGTAGTTAAATAACCATGTTAGTTTTTGCCTAAACTCCTGCTAGTGTCCTCTAGAGGCTGCATTGTTCATTACAGCCACAATATGAACGAACAACATCCTGACCATTTAGCTATTCTTAGAGCCTCACCAGAAATGGAACTACAAATGTTAAGTTTGTCCTTCATTCATACTAAATGTAAACATAAAATATCTATCAGTTGTTGAGATATGTTGGACTAAATAAGTCTCACAAGCGTGTTCATCTAATGTAGTTTTTCATAAATGTATCTTTGTGACTTCACACTGAACACTGCAGGATTAAAGAGAAAGTTTGGCCTTGTGTAAAGTTGAGAAAGTAAAACTGATGTGAGAGCTGCTGCTTGTTACATTAAGCAGATCAGTTCAGTCAGCAGATCTCTGATGAGTAAACAATCCGACGGCTCCCACTTTTCTGCTGACGGGCCGAGAAGTAGCTTTGAAGTGTAACTCTGAGCTGTAAACAGTTTGGCTTTATCAGTTTTGGTCTCAGGTGATGTCTAAATGAACTCCAGTCAACTTCCTGTTAAATCCTCATTACTGCAGAGAGGCTTCGCTCTGACTCTGACTTTCCCTCCACGTGGTAGACTTTACAGAGAAACACACAGTTCTCTTCTTACAGTGCCTTTGTTCAGAGAATAACGAACAGCATTTACTTCTTTTGCTACTGTCTTTGTCTTGTTCATCAGTACTTGCTGCCTAATAAAGGCTTCTAAGGTATCTTAAAGGAGGAAGCTGGTAAATCCTCTTGTTCGCTGGTTCTTACTATCCTTGTACTCCAGGATAGTGAGATTACATCCAGTAATGAAATACACCATGTGGCCAAAGGTATGTGGACAGCCGGACGCATCAGTTCAGCTGCATCAAATCAAGCATTCAGCAACGTAATCTCCACTGACAAACATCTGCGGTAGAAAAGATCAAACTCATGAGCATACTGACTGTAAGAACAGTATATATGTAAATCCTGCCTTTGCTTTTTATTGTTTTCTTGAATTTCTTTTCTTTGTAATTTTGTTGAGAAAACGGCTGAACTGATAAAGTTTTATTGTGATATTTGTTGGGTTGAATTTTCTATATATATATATTTATTAACTATATAAACTACTACAACGTACAAAAGTATTAAACCGTAATGAATGTTTCAACCAATCCGATCCGTAGGAAGCCCCTCCGCCTACTCACCGCTAGCCTCCACACCCTCGCACAGTTCCGTCTTCACCTCGCCGTTGGGCCGTTCAGCCGCCAGATGTGACAGCTTGCTGGTCATGGTGGCGGCAGTGACAATGGCCTTGAAGCTGCGTTTGCGTTTGGGGACGTTCTGCTCAGGATGGAAGATGATGATGTAGACCTTCGGCATGTAGAGCATGCCAAGAGAGACGGAGGCGCTGAGGCTGAGGGAGACGGTCAGCGTGGCCGTCTGAATGTACATCTGAGAAAACAGAGGGGGGAAAGGTTACGGGGTGGAGAAGACATGATGATAACCTGAGAAACTTTCACTTTTGAAAGGTTGGGTAAAGGATTCTAATCTAATACACGCTTTTGTTTTTGTCAAAGTTCAGCCCTGAGGCCCTGAGACCCTGAGGTCTGTTAGCTAATTTTGTCAAACAAAGTGGGCGTTCAAGCCATGATTTGTGTGTCAGATAACATTAAATGACTTGCCCACAGACATTCAGCTTACTTTCTAGTTCACCAGAACATGCTGTTGTTGTGATGTTAGCTATAACAGCAGGAGAGTTGTGAGTCTTGCTGTCTGGTGCTGGTGTGCTGGCTCTGGGACGTCTCGTCCTCTCTACATGTTAGCTTCGCAGCAGCAACAAAAGCAAGTGACAGTTTGCTAACCCACAACCTAGCTAACTTCACTCATTATCATGGATTTTGTCATGGTGTTGGATTTCTCCTAAATCTCATACACCACCTTTAACTGTCAACCGTGATGTGAAAGAAAGCTTAAATCTCCACTTTCGGTGCTTTTCATGTTTTCACTTTGACTTAACAAATACCACATTATCTCATCATGACATCAAGTGAGTAATTCCACTTACTCTCAAATAATGTCAAATAATGACTTAACTCCCTGAATTGCTATGGAGCAATATTTTGTATGTGTTTTCTTTTTCATGAAAGAAAGCGTAGTTTCAAGCATTTCTGCTGAGCGTCAGTCGGTGGGTGAAATGGCAAACGCAGTAATTCACCAACAGATGCGAGTAAGTAGACAAGTGCAAGCTGGCAAGGATGAAAAGCGATGAAACTTTCAAAATATTCAATTAAAAATGTGTCTTTGCCAATATTTTCTGAGGAAGAAAATTCATTCAACATGTTTGTTAGACCTCAACGATACACTGAATGTAAACAGAACTGTTTTCAAGACCTTTATATTGTATGAGTGAATTACTAATTCCATCCCTTAATATTACTAATTTGGGGGTCTTAAATCATTGTACCCTTAAAATGCTTATTTAAGATGTTTAATTCACTGCATGAATACAATCAATAATGTCTTCAAACACTTAAACAAAACCAAAACTTGACTTAACCAATCATTTGAGTAGTATATATATATATATATATATATATACATATATATATATATACATACATACATATACACACACATATACATATATATACATACACACACACATATATATACATATATATATACATACATATACATATACATATACATATATACATATACACACACACATATATATATATATATATATATATATACATATATATATATATATATATATATATATATATATATATATATATTTATGCCGCATTTGTTTGCTCAATATGTATTTTTCATGTCTATACGTTATTTCAACATTTATGTCCATGAAATGGATGTCATAGAGAAAAACATTAATTTTAAATATACCAGAACGATCTTTTACAACAATCTGAGTCTCATGACTCAAGTACCTTTTTTTATGTGGGACATATAAGGTTTTCAGCTGACTGTGTTGAGAACAATTTTCACTTCACTACATGCAGATAAACCTGATGAACAAGAGGATTTACTTAAATGATGGTCTGGTGCACTGAGCTCAGCAGTAATAATTCCATCAGCCTTCATTAAACCAACAGATGGTTGGCTGCTCAGTTCATTTACTGGAATCAATCTAGTGACTCGTGTTTGTGGCTGACAATTTTGTCTGGCTCATAACCAGCCAAAGTTTTCTACTCTCCAGCTGACTGGTGCAAAAGTCAAAGTGGTGAGTACTGGGCTGCAGTTTCCTGTTGTGTTGTAGTGATTTATTACGTGTTTTGATCACTGCTACTGCTAATGAAACCCAACACTTCCTTCATATTTCACACATTAAAAGGAAAGGGAGAGATTAAGCCCTTTGAGCCACTGGACTTTTAATGTGACACATCTGCTGGAAATGATTAGCTTCACTGTCAGCAACTTAACAGAAATCACAAAAATGGCATAGTGGAAGCAACTGGAAGTAATGACTGATTAAACACTGTTGGATAAGAGAAAGTGTTTTCAGCAGAGTGGTGTGTACATGACTCTGTTGTTGTACTGATGGAACAGTGTTGTGGAAATACAACATTTAGCAAGACAGCAGTTAAACATGAAACAGGAAATGCAGAGTTTGCATTAACAGCAAATTGAACAGGAGCAGATCAGAACTTCATACTAAAATATGCATCCATTAGTTACACCCACTTATCCTTTAGAGGGCTGCAGGGTGATGTAGCCAATCTCAGCTGACATTGGGCAAGAAGCCTGGACAAGTCACCGGTCAATCACAGGGCTGACACGGACAACCATTCAAGCACACATTCACACCTACTTGCCACTTAACCTAAATCCACATAAACTACAAGAACTAGAACACTTTACACTGCAGTTCCACCTCCTCTTACCCCATTAACTGTGAGCTGTGTCAATGTTTTCAGTAGTGGACTGCTGAAGCTTCATCGTGTGAGCAGCTGGACAATCATGAACTGATTACCTCTGTCTTTAAACGGGATCAGCAACAGAACAGAGAAACATCAGGACTCTCTTTTTCTCTCTCTACCCTTATCTCAGTTGGACAGATGACCACAAACGCATCATTAGGCTCCGTGCTGCGTTTGTGAGCCAATACGAGACTATTGATTCTCTGTGTTGTTATCTTTGTCAGCAGTGTTCTGTGAAAGCCTTCATTGTGACTATGAGTCTTTTACTGGCAGAAGGAGGCACTTAGACACCTGATCCACAGTCAGTCTCTGATCCTGAACCCTGACTGGACTAAATATTGCACCATCAACACCATCAAAACTAAAATGTAAGTTTAAAAGAATAGTAAAGTAGACTAACTATAACTGATTGTTTCTGCGGTGACACTGATCCTCTGTATTTTTAATGGGTAACAGCAGAGCGTAACTTCCATCGACACGGCTACAAGATCTTACTAACAGCCTGTACTCTAGACACCGCTGCCATGAACTATAATCTCGTCACATAGATAAATAAATGAAATTGTTAACAATGTGACACTTCTTAATTAATTTAACAACTTTAGCTTAACTAATATCATAAACATTGTTGGTTCAGATGAGATAATCAAACTTTGAAGCTTATGTTTGTTAACTGATCTGTTCATTTCAATGCTGTAGAGGACGTGTAGAAGTAAAATTAGTTCTTGCTTTGTTTTCCTGAGTTTGGTTTCTGTCTTCTCTGGCTGCATCTTGAGCACAACCACCACGCTTGCTCTCCTTACTGTTGCCATTGATGGCGTGGCACGGCTTCTGGCCTTAAAAAAATATAGAATAACACCAGCCCTATCCTCAAAGTATGTGTATATTTTACAGGTACATTGAAATATTAAAGCAAGACTTTAAAACTTCTGAAAGTTGAAATACGTGCTCAGTCCAATACACTTTTACATCTTTTATTTGGTCTGGTATGACCAGCAGCTAATGTTGGCTAACTTTAAACTTTAACTGCTGTGTAACTAGTATTACTGAGTCAGTTCATAATGACTCTTTTCTACTTGTGCTACTGTTTACCATGCATAAACTATGAATATATTAGCATTTAGTATGGTGTAATTCACATTTTTTGGCCACAGTGGTTGATGTTCAGTAAAAGTTACATATAGTAGTCTCTCTTTAAATTACTAAATGAAAATATAAATATATATATAAAATCTGAGCAACTTATGAGATACCAGACTATAACAGAGCCACAAAAAGCTATATTTAACTATATTCAAAACTATTTGAGGATTGGATTGTCAATAAAATCTTCCAAATGGTTCCATACTCTTAACCCCTCATGTCCATGGGAGATGAATTGAAAACACGTTTGCAGCTAATTTCTGATCGATGTGGTAACAAGTACTTTTGTATTTATATGTTCTTGTGCGTTGTATTTCACTTTGTTGTATTGTATCAATCATCAAATCGATCGCAAATAAACTTTACTTACTTACTTTACTGGTATTCATGACTTTATGCTGCACAACATCTGGTTTTTATTTTATAATAATAATAATAATAATAAATCATAAGATTACTTTTGCTGATTCACAGACTTTAGAGGACAAGTAATAGAAACAACTTCTATAACTAATGAAAGGCAGCATTAAATATTAATTTCACGTCAATTGTAATAAATTATACATCTGAAGCCATTACAGAAGCGAGACGTGGTGCAGCAACATGATTCAAGCTCACTCAACCACACACACACACACGCACATACACACACATACACACCATGCAGAGCTCAAACAGGCAGCAGACCATCCTCCAGCATCTGTCGCAAGACACCTGTGCACATGCTCCCAACACACAACACGGCATATCGCTTTTTATAAACAGTCTATGATCGCTACCACTGCTCAGAGACCCCCCCCCCCCATGTCACCATGGCAACGCCTCCTGTAAGTGGAGGCCCGGGTTAATGGTCCTCTGACTTAGTGTCAAAGTGACAGCAGGGAATCCTCAATGGGGCTCCGCTCAGCCACCAGGACGGAGAAAGGATGGGTGGAAGGAAGGAAACGTGGTGACAGATGGCGAGTTTCCCTCCAAGAGCCCAAAACAACGACGGCGGTGATTCCAGCGACGCATCGAGCAATCATTATGAAAATGCATGACAGACAGCGAAGCATAAACTCATTTGTGGGCCTGAGAGAAAAAACAAGCTCTGAAGAGATTTATGTGGCCTCTCCGACACAAGCTGTCATTACAAAACCAACACCACAAACAGTGTGAAGGTCAGAGTCTGATGACATGTTTCAGGAAGAGTAAAGGAGAAAGGTGAGGAACGAACAACCACTCAGTCTTATAAAGTCACATTAATGGATTTTATTTTGGCGCTGACCTAAGTCCTTTAATATTGAGTATCATCCTTGGGCGTGGAGAATGAGAACGTGCCGAGCGAGTGTGTATGTGCATCTGCACCTGACTTTTCCTGTAGCG